AAAAAAAAATTAAATCAATGTTGGATCAAATTCATAATGGAAGAAATATCTATCATTTAAATCRYGTATTWAAATGATTTAARYMATTTATTTCCTGTAATTTAAATGCTGTCATTTTCAGTTGTGTTATAGAAAGCAAAATATCAAGCTTTTATCTGTGCATGATAAAGCAAATAATTAAAACACTGCTTAGCCCAAATTATTTCTATTTTAAAGCTGGTTTTAATTATGGTGAGGKTGTGAAATTWTGCTTTTTTCCAGTTTMTAATTTGAYTTTTTTTTTAAATTTTCYAGGCTACAGCCAGGATTTGTACGCYGGCGACCAGATCYTGCAGCACATCCGCCGCAATTCYGAGCGAATCAAAGCCGCCGTTCCYGACGCCGCTGAATTCCTGCAGGAATTGCTGCTGTGGGGTGTGATCAGTGAGGAGGATTTCAAATCCTATTCCAAGGGGAGCAGCGATTCCCAGGAGCTGCTGGAGCAGCTGCTCAGCTGGGTGATCCAGGGCAAGAGCCGGGTGCGGAGCCGGGGATTCCTGCACGTGCTGAGCCGGCTGGGAGACGTGGATCCCAAAGTGCTCAAGTGGCTGAAGCATCTCGATAACCTGGGTAGGGCCAGAGCCTGTGCTRCAGCAGGGGAAGRGTTAAATTATCYATTTTCYAMTTTTCCTTTCTTCATTATCCATTTTTCACTCTTTTKTCCTTCATTTTTAATGGCAAAGTGAAGCTTTCCCTCTTTTTCCACCTTGTGCATTTTGATAACCTGGGTACAGCCAGAGCCTGTCCCAGGGAAAGCAGGGAAAGGGTTAAATTAGTGGAGTTTTTTTGTTTTTTTGGTTTTTTTTGTTCATTTTTAATGGCAAAGTGAAGTTTTTCCTTTTCCTTCATTTTTAATGGTAAAGTGAAGTTTTTCCTTTTTCCATCTTTTCCATCTTGATAACCTGGGTAGGGCCAGAGCCTATTATTTATCAATTTATTTATTTATTTAGCCTATAATTATCAATTTTCCACTCTTTTTTCCTTCATTTTAATGGCAAAGTGAAGTTTTTCCTTTTCAAGTTTTTCCTCTTTTTCCATCTCTTGCATCTCAATAACCTGAGTAGGGCCAGAGCCTGTGCAGCAGCAGGGGAAGGGKTAAATTATCATTTGTCCACTCTTTTTATCTTTGTTTTTAATGGCAAAGTGAAATTTTTCCTCTTTTTCCATCTTTTGCATCTCGATAACCTGGATAGGGCCAGAGCCAATTATTAATTTTCCACTCTTTTTTTTCTTACTTTTTAATGRCAAAGTGAATTTTTTCCTTTTTCCTTCCTTTTTAATGGCAAAGTAAAGTTTTTCCCCTTTTTCCTTCTTTTTGCATCTCAATGACCTGGGTAGGGCCAGAGCCTGTGCAGCAGCAGGGGAAGGGTTAAATTATCATTTTTTCACTCTTTTTATCTTTATTTTTAATGGCAAAGTGAAGTTTTTCCTCTTTTTCCACCTTGTGCTTCT